TTTTTTTTTTTTGAAAAAATTTTTTTTTTTTTTGAAAAAATTTTTTTGAATTTTTGAATTTGTTTTGAATTTTGGAATTAGAATTGCATTTAAAATTTGAAAATGAAAAAAAATCCCTTTAACGAACAAAAAAAAAAGCAATTTAAAAATTTTAGGAACTGTTCAAGAGCTTTAATGTGTATAATACAAATCGTTTTCCGGATCGTAAATAATTTCCTGATCATGAATAACTCCAGAAATTAGTTTCATCATAATTTCAACACTGAATTAATGATTTTATCATTAATTTTTGCAGACAATATACCATTATCATTGTCATTTATCTTTCCAAAATATTAATTGAAAATTATAAATCATTTCAATAAAATAAATAATTTTGTTAATAAATATATTAGACTAAATGAAAGTTTAAAAAATTTTTGATTTATTTATAAAATTTTTGAATTATAAAGCTATGAAAAGAGTGGAGCAAACTTTTTTCTCAAAAAAAAAAAAAATACATTCAGGCATTTAAAATTTTGTGTGAAATTTTAAAAGTTTTAGTTTAATTAAGATAACGCCTAAAAGTTGCATGTAATTTGTATAGCAACATGACAAATGACAAGGCAGTGACAATTGCTAACATTCCAATGTTTTTATTAATAAATAATTTTAATAGCCTAATTTGTTTTTTTTATCATTATTGTATTAAAATGTTGTTTATTATACCTGATAAATCAAATTTAAATTTTCGAATTTTTCAAAAAATTCAATTTCTTTTTTGAAGTTTTTATATATTTTCATAAAATTTTTGTAAAATTTATATTACCAATTAGAAATTTTATTTTAAAGTTTAAAATTTAATGTATAAGTTAAGGTTATTTTTACTTTTAAATTATCTATATATATATGTATAAGTTAAGTAACTTTATATTTAACAAAAGATCAACTGAAAATATTAATGTAAGATGGGAAACAGATAAGAAGTATACTTTTACCAAAAATAATTTTAACAAAAAATGCTTCATAATGATCATTTTAAGACGTTTGACAAATCAAATGACAGGAATGTTACCGATGATAAATTCCAATGAGAAATACGATAAATTAAAATATTAATATTCATATTTTGTGAAAAATGTTTCGAATCATTTTGAAATCTCAAAAATGATATACTGTAGAAGATATTTTGAAAAAAAAAATGATACCTAAAATTTTGCACAGAAATGAATTCAATTTTGATTACATATGAATACATATACGAAAAAGATGACTTGAAATGATTTACCTTTACATTTTAGCTGTCATTGTTAACAATACATGCAATAAAAAGAAATGCATTCATATTTGCTTTGTTATTACTTTAATAAAATATCGAAATTAATAAATGATATATTTGATTAATTCATATTTCAGTTTATATCGGAAATATTAATTCATGCATATAGCAAATTAGGTAAATTAACAAATATTACTTAAAATGGATACATAGCTTTGTGTAATCAGAATTGAATTCATTTCTATGCAAACTTTCGGTATCATTTTTTTTTTACAAAATATCTACAGTATATCAGAGACGTCTTCTACAGTATATCAGAAACGTCTTCTACAGTATATCAAGTGGATACATAACTTTTACTGGAATATATATATTATCTTTAACTGAAATATTAATCACATGCTAATATTATATGCTGATTAAGATAATTGAATTATGCATCTTAACTAATGATTACTTTATAGATAACTGGAAGATAACATCAATGATGTAAATGCTTTCTATCACTTATCATGTTAGCCGGAATCAAAGCAATGATGTAAATGCTTTATATCACTTATCATGCTAGCCGGAACCAAAGCAGTGATGTAAATGATTTCTATCACTTATCATGTTAGCCGGAATCAAAGCAATGATGTAAATGCTTTATATCACTTATCATGTTAGCCGGAATCAAAGCAGTGATATAAATGTCGTATATCATGATATTGCCGATACCGGAATCAAAGCAATGATGCAAATTTAGTACACGATTGCATTATATATTTGTTAACCGGATTCAAAATAGTGATGCAAATCGCTTACACATCACTTATCATGTTAACCGGAATTAAAGCAATAATGCAAAAACGGTATAGCATGAAAAGCTTAAAATTGAATATTATAAATAATTGATGCATTTATATGCAAATAATTTCAATTCATTAATTTCCGGTTGCTATTTTGCGCATTAATGCGGAAAGTTGCATAAAAAAAAAAAAAAAAAAAAAAGAAAAAAGGAAGACAATTCATCCTGATAATACGAATGAATTCTAAAATATTAGCATCTAAAATTAATAGCTAATATTGAAGAAAAAGAAAGTTCAATAAAATTTATTTATGAATTTTTAATACAAACACTATGCAATATGCCAATACCAAATGAAATTATAATAATTAATTTTAAAATATTGATTGACTTTTTCCACCACTATATGATTATTTTTTATATTTTTAATTAAATTAACACAAATAAACAATCAAATGATATATGATTATTCGATTCAATTTTTTATGAGTTAATTAGTTTTTTCCTTTTTGTAATTTAATTAATTCTTAAAACAATCGAAAAATTTTCATTTTTTGAATAAATACTAAAATGTTGACAGTGTAATGGGAAATTTTTAAAAGTATCATTTAAACATTCGGTTGTTTCATCTTTCTTTTTTTTA